TCAGACTCAGCATCACTAGAAGTAGAAGTATCACAAGGAAGATCATAATCATTAGTCTCTAACTCTGTGAAATCAACTGACACTAGATCTGGCTCATCTATAGAAATTTCAGGTAGTAAATTTTGTGTGCAGCTGCCATTAACACAACTGATGATTTATGACAAGCAGTACTTGCTTATTTATAGATCTATACATGTTAGCTATTAACCTTACTTCTTTCATCATCATTGGTATTTCTTTTTTTGGTTTAGGAGGCAAGAAAGAAAGGAGAGATGCTGACGCTTGGTTGCCATTGCAAGAAATGATTACAAAATTAACATTCAAAATATTCATGAAAAGTTAATTTTAATAACAATAATAATTAATTTTAATGATTATGATGACTTCCTTTTCCTGTCAAAACTTCAGGGTGGGCATTGCCCCTTAATGCCCACCCCTGGAACCGCCTATGGCCACAAAGACTTTAAAGGTCAGTAAACTTGCTATAGCAGTTTGTAACTCCAATTTTGATCAGAATCAGCTCAAACTATCCAAAAAATATAAGTATATGCTTATGTACCAGAAAAAATTATAAAAATATAGAATTTTATCTTTTTTAATTTTGGCAAAGTTTGGCCCGAGGTCATGTACTATAGTACAGGGACTTTTTTCTGATTTTTGAGCAACTTAAAAAATTCGTAAACAATCCAATTTTGATTGAAATCAGCTCAAACTTTTTACGCAACATAAGAACTTATATATGTATTAGGAAAAATTATAAAATTGAAGAATTCTCAACTTTTCAATTTTGTCAAAATTTGGCTAAAGTCGCTGTACTATAGTACACGGTCCCGGGTCAAATTTTGGAACAACTTTAAAAATTTCATAAAAAATCCAAATGTGATTGGAATCAGTTCAAACTTTCTATACTACATAAGTACATATATATGTATTACAAAAAAAATTATAAAAATGGAAAATCTCAACTTTTTAATTTTGGCAAAATTTGGCCCGGAACCTTATACTAGTACAGGGATTTTGGTCTGATTTTGGAGCAACTTTAAAAATTTGTAAAAAATTCAATTTTGATTGGAATCAGCTCAAAATTTTTATACAACATAAGAACATGTATATGTATCAGGATTTTTTTAAAATAGAGAATTCTCTTCTTTTCAGTTTTGGCAAAATTTGGCCCCAAGACCAAAAATTTTTAAGAATTCAATTTTGATGGGAATCAACTCCAAGTTTTCACACAACTTGAGAACATGCATATGTATTGGAAACCTTAATTTTAATTACAATTACTATTAAAGATACTAGTATTTTTTGCTATTTCTAAGTGCTATTACCATGGAATGTATGTTAGAATAATTATTAATTTCTAACATAGTTATTGACATATAAATTATTCATTATTAACATACCAGGCATCAATATGATATTACTATTCTTCCTTAAAAGTTATGATATATTATATTTTTTATTTATTGTTCAGTTGTGGTACTGACTGAAGTTGATAGACTCACTAAAGATGCACAGCATGCATTGAGACGTACAATGGAACTATACACAGGAACATGTCGTCTTATACTAGTCTGTAACTCAACCAGTAAACTAATACCAGCCATCAAGAGCAGGTGTTTGGCTGTTAGGGTTCCCGCTCCTACCATAGATGAGGTAAGGAATACATTATCTGATGAATAAGTATAGATTATATACCAAGGTAGAGGTTTTGTGGGATTTATTTCACTTGGTTAAAACTTGATAAGTGGACAGTTTTACAATGACAATTACTAGGAGGTTAATAAGTGTTTCTGAGTTTTTAAAAATAATTTTATGCAGTGGTATAGAAAACCTACTGTAGGCATAGGCGGTTCCAGGCCTGGGCTGTGCCCAGGTTAATTTTGGTTGCTCAATTACTCAAGTTGTCAAATTACTCAACTCCTGGACTCTTGTATCACTACCAAGCCTCTTAACAAAGTTATCTAGCCCCCTGATTATGATCTCAGCAGTTTCCAGTGCTTTAAGGAGCCATGAGAAGTCGTCAGAAGTACCAGTATGCTTGAAACTAT